TCCCCCGTGTTTTGCATCACTAGGGAATCTGGAGTCTGCGGGGTTATCGCGCGGTTATCACCCCCCTGGAGAACCCCAAGAGCCCCCATAAACCTCCTTTCGACTGCACTTCAAATCCCAATTTCTCAACCCCTCTTTCTTCGGGAAAAATTGAAAGAAATCCAAAAAATGGAGAGAGGGGTGCCTCCATATTTAGGGTAGTAAATTAAATGTGGGTTATCATGTGGATATCATCCCTCCTGGAAGAGCTCGAAAAATGCCCATAAACTTCCTCTCGACTGCACTCAGCATCCCGATATATATATTTTTTTTTTTACCCTTCGTTTCCTAGGAATGTTTATTAATTCCGGGCAAATTCATAGAAGTTGTAAACACGGAGAGGGGGATTCCATATTTAGGGCAGTAAATTAAACGCGGAAAACAATAAAAAAACGGCCCTCCCGGGGGAAGTTCCGACCCGGCCGAAACTCTCCATTGAACTGGGTCGTTCGTCTTTCGGGTTCCGGCAAACTCGGTGATTACTCTCTACAAGCGGGAACTTCCGGGAGTTCCGCAAAGTGAAATTGATGCGCGGAGACACGCGGACGATCCGTCGCGATATGACGCATTATGTCGCCCGGAAGGCGCCTTTAATAATGCCTTTCCTACGGAGTTCGACTTCTGCTGGAACGTCTGTCGGCCATAATCTCGAGACGGCCTTAATTATGCAAATTCGCCAACCCTTTCGGTGTCGCGAACTCGACGAAGATCGACGAGCTCGCGAATAAGTGGCGTGGCTCGGCGGAAAATAAAAAAATTGTTGAAATAAACTTTGGCGATTTTCTAAACCCTCGACAGGGTGGAAGGAAAAATCGATTTAATCATTCTGACCTCCGTGGGTCTTTAATGGGGGTTAGAAAATTCTGGAGGAGTCCCGACCGTTCCGTAAAACTGATTATAGATAACAGCGATCGGTTGACCGCGTTATCAGAAGCGGAATCCGCGAAAATCCCGCACGGTGCAGATCCACCGATACCGAAAAGTCCACACTCGGCGAAATGGATTGTTAAATGTGTAAACATTGCAAATATTAGTAGCGGGTAAACAGCTCTACGTACCGGGAAGCCTCCCTTGCATATCAGCTTCCGTTATCGCGAGTTTGTCGAGAGGTGCGTGATAAATTATCATCCCTGTGTGTCTTTCCTTTGGAGACCGATAAAATGAGGAAACTCATCGGAAACGTCCCCCCGATTTAATTAATTAAGTTATGGTTAAAAATCCACCCTAGATTAGCGCGACTAAGAAAGGTTAAAATTAAATGGGCAACATTTATCAATGATTATTTAAGTGAAGTAATTATGAATTAACAAAACATTTCTCAGGTAGTATTCAAGGGTACGTCTCTTAGGTTCAATGAGTTTCCTCGGTACGCGTGGAAAAGTACCCGAGAATTAGAATAAATATGGAAAGCGGAAACGCGAAGAGCAACATTTATCCAAAGGGAAAAATTGACAAGTGCAGTCGAGCAGTCTGTACTCGAGACGTGTACTACAGAACTTGAGCGAATTGCGAGTAGAAGTTAAAGGGGGAGGCGGGGGCGTACGGCGCACAATAAGACCCGGAAACGGAGGCGGAGAAGAGGAAGGGAGATAGAGAGGAGAGCGACCGAGCGAGGCGGAAATTTCGTGTACTCAAAGTCTCTAATAACATTATACCGCTAACTAATTCGGTCCCCGCGAAGACCATACACAGGCATACGTATGTCGCAGCCTCCGATCTGGACCGCGGCGAGATGTCGTCCGAACTAGTCCGGGAGCGATTTTCCTGGACATCGATTCGCAAATCAGCGACATTCTCCCGAAACTCGGGGAAACTCGTGGGGACCAAATCGCGACGATTTGGGGATCATCGGGGACAAGGTCCCGCGGCTCCCAGGGGAGCCGCCTCTGTCCCGGGTTAGGGGATAACTCGCGAGGCGCGTGCCCGGACCCGCTGCAGCTGCAGCTGCAGAGGTAGGCACTCCCGGTGCAACTACATGCCGAAATAATCCTGCAAGCCACCGGAATGGGCGATCAATCGAATGCATCTCTGGCACCAGGACACGGGTCCAATTGGTAGCAATACCTGTACGGTAATCTGGATATTACACGCCATGTATTAACATTCCATGTATGAAATGTATAAATAAATTTAAATACAGCTGATAAAAGTCCCGATAATCCGAGTGGCCGTATATTAAATATCCAGATCGCTTTTTATTAATATCTACGAATACTAAATGTCCAGATTAATTTCCACCGCCTAAAGCCTCCACTGATCTGGATTTTCCATATTTTATATTAATATTTCCGTGGTATTAGATATCCAGTTTATTCTCGACTGTCATTAAATAGACCCGATCGCGTTAATATGCACATGGTATCTGAGTAGATAACCAATGCAAGCGTCTGAAAAAAATTAAATAAATAAACGGTACCTGCAAGTGATCGGAGTCGGGCACTGATGGGACGCGGAAGGACGGTCCCTCTCGGCACCTGCGGCCAAAGTTTGCTCCTCTCCACTTTTTTAATATTCTCCCCCGCCGTTAAACGAAAAAGTTATTCAACAGCCGTGTTAAGACGCGGCCAAGGTGGAACGGATTTCCTCGGGCTTAACGAAAATATCAAAGTTTCGGTGCAACTTGCAGGCCCACTTCTCGCAACGACGGTTCTTCGGCGCATAAGCAACATCTCCCCGAGGGTGGAGGTTACTAAATGAAAAAAGCTGGGGGCCGATTATGGAGCTGCATTAAAAATCATTATCGAAATTTCTCCCATTGGTTTCTGATAAAATCCTGGAAAACCGCCCCGACTCTTAATCTCCTTAATCGAATGCAAATTCGCAATTTAAAACGCTCACGGATCGAGTTATACAATCCACGCACTTTTTGGCCAAAAAAAAAAAGCACCTCGATTATGGCGAAATCGAAAACCGAATTTACATTGGAATTTAATTCCTTGATTAGCGGCCGTTTCCGCGTGTATCCCGCGTGCAAATATTAATCCCGGGAAAAATGTAGGTCGGGCCGTGCATATCGTTCGATCCCGCCGCGATTAACCGAGTGGCGCGAATTCCCGTAAAACGAGACACTTTATCCCGCGGATCTCGCCATCGCTCATAATACAGATCGACTTTTCCCGCGGCTAATTGCGAGCCGAGAATTTTCCCGTCGGCGTGAAAATTCGAGGCGCCACCCTGACGGGGAGCGCAACGCGGAATTATTAATGGCGTTAACGCGAGAGGTCGAAAAGCCTCAATTAATATCGGCAGGGCCGCGTGTAACGATCGCCTATCGAGCCTTTTGTGCCTATCGAACCTGTCGAAATATCGATCGTTTCATCGAAATCATCCGTAGATATCCGTAAAATTATCCGTAGGTACCCGGGGAAATACGTGCAGGAAATTTCTCCGGATTTTCGATTTTCCGCCGCGAAAGATCGAAGGGGAGCGACTTTTCACGGAATCTGCACTTGAACTGTGCATTTCACGTTGACAAATAAAATCGGGGAGAGGTATCGATCCCCCATCGGACAAAGTTACATTGTTTTAACGACGATAACGCAAGGGGAGGTTGCGAGGACATTGCGATGCATTTCGGCGCAGACTCGTACAAACGGGCGTACTGTTTAACAATCGGGACTTCTCGTTACGCCGGGAGGGGCGAGGGGGAAAAATATCACGGAAAATAGAGAAAGTCGGAGGTGGAATGGATTCGAATATAATATTGAACCCGCGGGCGACTTTCGCCGCGTGCAGATGGATCCGCGCTAATGAACCTGTAAATAAACGAGGACCGATATCGAATATCGACTGGCGGCTCGATCCGACAACGGCGTAAATAAATCGTTAAACCGGACGATGACAACGAACTAGGTGCGGAGAGAAGAGGGGAAACCGACCCTTCGATTAAAAAATAATCGGAGGGTAAATTATTCCAGAAAACGGAAATGGGAAATATCTCGCGCGATTATTTCCCACGTTCAACCTGCACTGGTTCAATGACATTTAATTCCCAGTGATCGGTTGTCTTAAACGATTACATCCCTCGAAGACCAGAAACGGGACGGCTTCTTCCGAACTACTTAATATCCGATGTCCAAGATATGCTATTTTTATTATTTTTAATTAGGGACCCCCGCTTGTTTTGATTTTTCTCCCGTAGGTAGATATCTATCGGAAGCATCGCGACGTCAAGTATGAAAAGTCCCGATCGAGAGGGACGGGAGGGAAAAAAAATAAAAGGGAGAAGTAAACGCATTGAATTCCGCGGGGCTAGCGCCTTTCCGGTGGAGTCGCGTCGGCGCGCCGCCATTGGTCCAGGCCGCCGCTCCAGGAGAATCCGAGCGTCGGCCCTCACTTGAAATTCATGAATTCCGCCGTATAACCAATTAGGTCACACACGGCTCGCAGCCCGCTTCGGGAACTTTAATGAAAGCCCCTCAAAATTCAGCGGATGCTCCATTCTTTATCAAGGCAATTAGAATTGCCGCGGCCCTGGCGCGGGGGGAGTCCCGGGGGAGCGCAATTTAATTAGAGGAAAAATTATAATAATTATCGCCGATGAAATTCCCATCACGGGACGTCCCAAGATTATCGGAATTCAAAGAGAGCGCCTTAATGGGCCGGAGTTAATTCCTTTCCGGGGGCTTTTATTCGGCCCCTCTCGTTTCCCGTCACTTCTCTCTCACTCTCTAAGAGTATTCAGGGGAGCCACCCCTTCGAGGCAGGGAAAATCGAAAAATTGAGAAAGAGACCCGAAGTTACCCTTCTCGCCTCCGTCAATTTTCACATCGCCTAATAAGGGCTCGAATGGACCTTTAATAAAACCCGAAAGAGGGGATGTACAGGGAAAAGTAAAATCGGTCCAGGTGTAAACGGACTCGAAAAAGAATCAGGAAAAATTGTAAATTAATTAGAGAGGTGAAATTCCCACCTTTCTACCCTTTTGACCCACCCTTAAGAGATGAAGGATTTCCATTTACCTGATTCCTCCCCGAGTGGTGTCGTAGTTGAGGGTGCGAAGTCCGTGTCGCCATGTCACATAGCCTGTGGGGTGCGGCACTTTGCTGACCACGCACTTCAGCTCTATCGTGCTGCCCGCTTTATAGAACTTCTCCCCTGCAGTGGCCCCATGCTCATCGACGATCTCCACCTTGGGCACTGGAACACCAGAAAACGAGGAAACCCGTGAATTATCGGCTGTGAGATGGGCGCAGAAAAATTAGCCTAACGCCTCGGCGTGCCCCAAAAATCGATAAGAAGAGCGATGCACTTTTTATGTTTTACGGTGTAATAGCTTCCAGGAGAAATTCAAATCTCGGGTGAATTAGTCCCCTAAATGCGAGTTTTTACATGCCGCGCGATTTGCGCGGCCTCGTGATTCCGGTCGAGCCGACCGGAAATGCAGAGAGCCCGACCCGGCTAATTTCCTCCCGGAAAAGAGCCGGAAAATAACTCGAGCGTTTCCCGAGGCTCCCTTTTCGATCCCCCGCAACCCCGAGCTCGCACTGTAAACAATGGCTCCTCGAAAGCAGCCTAATTCCGGGCCGGTTAAACAAATAGAGCGATTCCGCGTCCGCGGTTTCCGGGGTCCGGAAGCCGGATGGGACTGTAAAGAGATTTTGTCAAAAGGGGTCTTTATGGAGCCAGAGAGGTTGGGATACAGCGAGGAAAAACAGGAAAAGGATGCAGGAAAGCTCCGCGAAGAGCGAGGGGAAAGAAAAAGTTGCAAGGAACTAATACAAGAAAAGAAATAAAACGATTCATAAAAAAATGGTCAGGAAGTCGGACAAAAGAAACTGCAAGCAAGAGGTGCCAAAAATGATTGCCGGACCTCGCCTTGAAAAAGACCTCAAAACCACCCCATAAACCCCAATGAGCACTTTCGATCCCAGGTGACCGTGCACCCCTTCCAGGGAGATCCCACGGGATCGATCCGTTCCCTCGGGAGCCCAGGAACTCCGGAAACGAGGGACTCCACCGAGAAGAAAATCCCCTCGAGGGGAGTTTTCCTTGCGGGAAAAAATCGGCCGCCCCTTTGAAGTGGAAATATCGCGGGAATTATTCCGCGGGGAATTGCGACCTACCGGGCTCCCAGGGGATGATTTTTCAGCTCCTTGGGGAAAAAGGCTTGATTAGATAGGGGCGCCCGAGACCCGGGGGTTGGGAAGACGTCCGGCCACCGTTGTGTGCGGAAAAAGAGTGCCTAGGTCAGTTCCACCCACCGCAGCCACTCCTTCGCGGGGGTCAAACTAATTTCCGCCCATGGCGGGGTAAGTTCGAATATCCGCTGCGGGCCTCTGCCACCCCGGGATATCTGAGCTGACCAGTAATCGAGTTCGATCAACCCCCGTGGATGTCGGCCAGGGGGAGATATATCTCCCGGCCGCGGTGGCTTAAACAAATACACGCCATTTACCACGGCATCGAATCCCCGCACGGATACCCTGGCCGCAGACTCGCAAACCGATCTACTGTTTGTCCAAGGGATGGAGGAGGGTTGAATTTTCACGCGCACCAGCGAAAGGGCTAAGAGCACCCAAAACCAGGGCGAAACACCCCCGCGGTACCAGAAACCGGCCGTGCACCCCAAAACCAATAACATTGCCATTCCTCGTATCATTTTCCCGACTCATCGGAATTTCACTTTATTTTTCACCTTCATTATTTATTCCTCTCGGCACAACATACCTCGGGTAAAAAATCCAGAAAGTATGCGGAAATGAATGCGATCATGAAATGGCCAGGTGCATCTTCATCAAAATCCTCGGGTGCACCCACTTTAGCGGCCCTCCGCGCACATTTCATCCCCGAGATGGCTGACGCGATCGAAAATTCAAAGCGATGGTCTGGCTAATCCCTGGAAGCCTAATCAAAGCCCCGACCTGGGCAATATTCATACCGAATCAAACGGCCAGTCCGGATTGGACGTTTGGAGACGCGTCGCATCTCCGCGGTCCTCTTCGGGTTCGCAATGGCGATGGGGTAGCATCGCGAAATCGCAAAGGGTGCTGGATTAAACGCGGAGCAGAAAAGAAGTGGATTATCCGTTTCGGCCAGGAAGGCAGCGAATGGTCCGACTTTGTGTCCACGCATGGGAATGGGAATTTCAGCTCGAACGGACCATTTGGTCGGCGCAATGTCCCGAGCTTGATGGGGCGACACGTCCTTTTGGACCGGACCAACGACTCGCAGTAAATTTCCCTAACGGGCGTCAGGATGGGCAGTAAGAATCCCGGAATCGTGTACATCCAGGTCGGGGGATAAAAGTGGAGGTACCGGGGTAATCATTTTCCCGAGGGATGAGGGAGGGGACGTCGGTTTCGCAATTAGGCATGGCCTATATGCACACCCCGGAGTGTCCATTGTCCTGTCGGATCGTAAAGGATTTAGGGCCGCGTGCCATTGTCGGGCACTTCTGGGGAAAAAGGAAAGCGCCTGCGGTGATTTACAGAGCCACGTCGGGGGATGAAATAAAAGTCGTCGATAGGGGGGGGCAAAAAATGGCGGCCTCTTCCCCCCATTGTGTCGCGTCGAGAAATTTGGAAATGTCCAAGTGATAAGGGTGCTCTTCGGAATCTTCTTCGAGATATCCTCTTCGGGGTGTTTCGGCGGATTTCACTAATCACTAGATGCATCCAAGCAGCGATCGGTCCATAGGAAGACAATTTGCTAAAAGCTCTAGAAGGCGGACTTTCGGGGGAAACAAAGGGGGTAAAAATCCGCGACCACGGACGGCGAAAGACCGCGGCAGCCGCTATCGAGCAAGGGATTCACGGAGAGAAGATCAGCGAGAGGCTCATCGGGGTCTCAAAAAGAGAGCTCGAAGCAGAGGTTGAAGAGTAGTCGAGCTGTCGAAAAGAGGAAGAGGGGTGGCAAAGGGAATTTCGACCTCGATATCGCGGCCCGAAAGGCCGGTTAATCAAAGCTCTCGCGAAATTCCCGAGCCCCTTTTCACCTCGGCGAACAATGGCGGCCGGAAGTTGGCGAAAGAGGGGCAAAAGGGGTGGGTCGGAGAAAAAAAGCCGGTGGGAATCAAAAGAGAAAACCCATTTTCGGGCGAATGAAAGTCAACGTGGCCGGCATCCCCGGGGGCCATATTCCCCGTCAAATAAATCTGTTTCTCGTTGAGCCCCTTGTTGAATTTACGGCTCGATGTTGAGATAAATTAACGGCGTTTATCGGATTCGAGCTCGCGTTCGAGGGGGTTGAAAACAGGGTGGAGGCGAAGAGCGAGCCAGAACGTCGGCCTTAATTTCGTCTTCCGTCGAGGGTCGGTTAATCAAAGCTTTCGGACGAATCCTCGGATCCCGTCCGGTGGGGCAAACAATGGCCGGCGGGGAAGTTCCCGCGAGCGGGGGGGTGCGAAAAATCGAATAAAAGGGGTGGCCCATTTGCACCCAAATGAAGGTCGACGTGGCCTCTGTCCTGCAGGAACGGCCCTGTCAGATGTACCTGTTAACTATCTGCTATTGTGTTACCGTAGAACAGCCGGCAGGGTGCGCAACCCCCACCTCCTTCCGGCAGTATTTCGTTTTTCAACATTTTTCTTCCCCTTTTTGCCCGCCGCGCCGTCCAGGGAAAAAAACGCCCGAGCCAAAATAAAGGCTCGCCCTCGATTTCGCGGCGGCGAAACAGAGGGGTTTATTTGCGATCTCCCGTTGTTGATTCTTCTTTTTTTCTCTCCCTCCCCTTACTCCACCCTCTACCCCGTGCGACCCCCCCGATGACCCCGCGAATAGCGGGGAAATGTCGAGTAAGTTCACCGGGGACATAAAGGGGTAAAGCTCTCCCGCAAAACCCCGGCCTCACCCCTTACCCCCTACCCCCGTAAGCCGGCTCCAAAAGCACAGGGTGGAAAGCTCCGGAATTTCGATAACGCGGTTCCCCCCAAGGTGGCGCGCCGCCGATTAAACAGTTTTTCTTTTTACCTTCCACCCCCTCGCTCTAATATCCGGGGGAAAAAATTCGAAATTAAGGCCGAAGGGAACCGGAAGAAAATTCGTACGTTCCGCGAAATTGCGATAAACTTTTAATTCATCAATTAAACCTAATTAATAATATATTTAAAACACCCCGACGACAGTTTTTCAACCGCAAACGGATAGCTGATAAAATTGTCCATTATCTCTCGGAATTCGCGGTGAAATGTGTCGGTACTTCGGGCGGGGGTGGGTGGGAGAACAGGGGAGGGGGGTTTATTTGCGATTCCGTTGTTTGTTCCGTTCTTTTCACAAACGACTCGGCGAACAGCGAGGAAAAGCTCGGTGAACGTCGAGTTCATCGGAGGTATAAAGGGGTAGAGCTCCCCCGCGAAGTCACCCCCTTCCGCCTCCCCCTCTTCCCCCGTAAGCGCACCGCGAAAGCTCGAGTGGAAAGCTCGAGAATTCCGATAATGCGGTGCCTTCGAGGTGGCGCGCCGCGGACCAAAGTATTTCTTTCGTTTCCGTGGCTTCGGGAGTGAGGGTGGAAAGAGAGAAGGGGTGGACGAGGCCGATCGGTGAGGGGGCGAAGAAGCGACCCGGGGAATCAGTTAGCGGCGAAACGAGAAAGGAAACGGGGCGGAGGATGTCGGACGTTCTTTCTCCCTTTAAATAAAAAGCACCACTTAGGGGTGCCGACTACCCCTGGGGCCCGATGGACTCCCTTCCGGGAGAGATTGCTACCAGATTAGCGAGAATCTCTTCCGGTGCTCGCGAAATTCGAGGCGAGGGCTTTAAACGGACTTGCGGGTCGGGAACTACCCCTGTTGGACATCCCAGTCGTCCTTTTCCCCACCCCTTTGAGAAATCGATGTCTGACTACGGGGTGCGATGTATAGATTTTTAGAAATTCCAAAAAATCGTCTTTATACGATAGCTCGTTCCTGAAAGAAGAAATCTAGGGGATAATTCCTCGGTGCATATTGTGCGATTTAATGTCCTTTCGATAGCGGTAGGCAGTATATAATTCTCGGTAAATCCACATTTCTATTGGAAGGTCGAGGATGGGAACGTTTCTAATTTTTCTTACACTCCTATTCATCAACCTGCCTCGCCCTTTTCAGATCACGTTATTCCTCCGGCGTTTTAACTGCCGGTTGGAACATCCATCTTCGTCCTGAAAGGAGCATCGGTGTATCCTTGGGAGCCGATGAAATTGAAAGAACTCCCGCCCGGGCG